ATGGCAGCAGGAAGGGATGGCAGAATTAACTGCCATCACTCTCCTGCTGCCCAGTTTCCCAACCCATGGGGAGCTCTGTGGGCCAGATTTGATCTGTGGACTGGAGACTGAGCACCCCTGGTCTACAGGCACAACAGAGCAGCCCAGAATAATGAAACACGGAAGTGACTTAAAGCCACCTTGACTACCCATCCCTGTTGGCTAGGATGCGCCTCCCAAGTCCAGATAAGAAAATGCAGAGAATCTTACCCTCCTGTGCGAAAGCAAATAAAGGGAGGGGGAGGGTTACGGGAGGAAGGAAGCAAAGGCAAACCCAGTGTTTCACTGATCACTAGGGACACCTTCCTGTGGGTAACTTTCAGAAAGTTTTCCTATTGGTTTCATTGCAGTATGACAGCTACTTACCATATTTGAAAAAGATACACTTCTCTGAAGTGTTTTTGTTTCTTTAGAAAACATCTTCAAAGTTGAATCTAATGCAAACATAAAACACCAATTGGAGAGCTCAAAATAGAACTGTTTTGCAACACACTAGACTCATGGACTGTGGACTGAATATTCAAATGTTTACTTATGGACCACAGACAAAGGATGGATAAACTAGTGGAAAAAAATGACAAGAAGGCTACTGTTAGTAAAACTATTTGTGACACTCAGTTTCTCTCTGAATTTACCTCTGAAATTATCTTTTAGTGCCATTAGGACAATGACAAATGCCAGAACTACTTTAGTTGAGACTACAGCCTTTAAGCATCCCAATTTGCCGGTACTAATTTCACATGCTTGTTTTGCAGAATTAGTAACAATGAGAAATTGAAGAGCCCTGTAACTCAATCTGGCAGACACCCTTTGATTTTAGTTTATTTTGCACTGTTCTCAATCATAGTTCCAATACTTCTTCTTTCAAATTTTTTTAATTTCATTTTTTAATTCTACACTCTAAATTTTACACTGATCTGAAATACATGACTGGCAGCACTCCACTCTGCGTCAATGGTAGGCTTAAGTTCCACAAGACACTGAACCTAATAAAGGACCTCTGCAACACTGGAAGGCAGAAGTTACTGACTTCCCAGGGAGACTCAGCACCTGAAAGTTCTCTTCAGAGGTAATAGTTAATTTTTTTAATCACTTTTTCATTTTATTTTTAAATAAGTGGTATTTTAAGTGTGTTAAATATAGGGAATATACAGAATAGACACCTTTAATGACAGGATGGCATGTTAATATTGATGCAGGTCATTCAAAGAATGGACCATAGCAAATTCGGCCAGATAAAAAGGCTTTGTACTAAATGAGAATACTGAGCTATTTAAGACAGTTCACACATTCTATCTACTGTCTCCTTTTCTTTTATAAGATATTACAATGAAACTTAGATGAGCATTTTTGCACTGAAACTCCAAGCTTCTCTGTCAGTTATGCAGTACAGCTGCATTCATTCTGCACGGAGCCTAGGTTAACTGACTTCTCTAAGGAGCCCAGGTGCAGCACTATGCCAAGATGACACTGCTTTCAGTTTCAGGGCATGCTCAGATATCTATGCACAAGACTGCTTTTCCCTGGGTAGGCACACTCCAGATTGCTTGCAAAGTGCAGTGTGGGATTTTAACAAATTACTGTGCTGCCTTAACTCCATTCTAATTGAAGTTCAACTCAATCCACTTCTCACTCTATTGGATGCATAAGGCAAAGAGAGCTGTTGTCACCAACTAATCCTATCTCGGGCCAAGTGCCTTTAATTTGCTCAGGTTAAGAGCCTGTAAGATTTCAACCGATACACCAGCTTCTTGCTAAGACAAGGTTTAGCTGTTACCTATTGCGCAGTTCATTTGGGCACTATTCACTGACCCAAGCAGTTTGGTAAGAACTTCTGTTTCCATGATGATGTTTACTATGGGATGAAGCAGTTACTTTATGCCCAAGCCTCAAACATAGTAGACCAGGATACTAGTTTTAGTCTGGCTTCTAATCAGCAACCTATTTCTAATAGGGACATCAAATCAAACAAAGAATTTACCCTCTCCCCTCCAAACAGTTCTTTAAATCATGGGGTCTGCCCACAAGTCTCTATGACAAGATGCCAGTCTCAGAATTCACTGACAATAAATTGGGTCAGTACTAAGTACTTTGGAAAACCCCACCTTAAAAGGGCTGGCTAGTAAAATTGATGGTTCATGCAAAGTTATCAGGACAAGAAATTTCATAAAACAGTGTAAGGTTTGAAATAACTCACGATACAAGAGACCCATACTAGAGCACTAACCTTGAGATGTAGTGAATACTGAAGACCCATTGCAAGAGACTGCTATTCCAGTAATAGCCCTGTTCAAAACATAAAAGGTTGCCTGTGACTTCACACAGGTTTAAATACCAACAACCAGACTTTATAACAACTTTCTCACAGCTGGAACCTCACAAGAGTTAAACCAGATGTAGATTAAGAAAGTTGTTACAGCAGGTGTCACAACCCTACAGATAAAATATGTTGGCACAGAAATGAAAATAGCAGTGTGAGCGATGCCCCCACTGTTTGTTCTGTCAGTAAACTTCAACCCTCATCAAAAAAGGGGCTGAATAAGTAAACTGGAGAACAGTCACCCATTTGGGCTAGATACTGAAAGGCAGGGTTGCCTAACTTCTGAGTGGTCAGGGACTACATTCCCCCTTCCAGGCTGTACTTCAAGCCACGCAGGCAAACCCGCTGTTGTGCTGCAGTGAGCACAATCCAGTGCTGGTGTCCCTACATCATTCAAGACCCCCCGCACAGCTGTGCCACCTCACCCCCAGTGCACTGCATCAATAGCTTGCACTTCACAAGTCCCTGGGATCCCCTTAAGTCCCCTGATCAAGGGCTCCCTCACAGCTACACCCAGGGATGGGGTCAGGAGGTACAGGCTACAGGCAAAAGGGGGAGCCTAGGGACTTCAATAGCATCAGCTGAGGAGCAATGAGTGGAGTGGTAGCCAGACCAGGAGCCTGGGGGCTACAGATTATCCCTTGAGGGCCACATAGCCCTATAACATGACTTGCACATCTACAGTTTAGATGCTACTGCTTAACTTTGAGGCTACCCAGGACCACAACATCCTGAGCAAGGAACCCTCTAAAAGTTAGTTAATCATGACAACTAAGCACAGGTTGCATCCAAAAAGCACCTTGCCAGAGTTTAAGGACTTCCCTAGAGTGCCTGGAAAGCTCTTGAACAGATATAACCATAAAGAATACAGGTTACCACAGGTGGGGCATACTCTATCCTTCCTGATCTGTGCCATTTTGCACCCAAAATCAAAAAAAAAAAATCAGCTTCCTGTATCACCAGAGGAGGGGGATGGAGGGTGTGTCTGCATCCTAGTGGTTAGGGCACTCACTCAAAACAGGGTTCTGGTCTCTGCTGAGGGATATTTGTTTTAATGGCTATTAAATGCAAAATGAGTCCTGGGAACAGGTTTTACAATGAAAGATTCTCCCTTTGATCCATTTCCCTACTGTTCAGTGGTGGTGGTGGGGGAGGTTCTCTTTTTTGCTGCACAGAGGAACAAATTCAAGATGGAGAGAGATGGATTCCACTCAGTCCACAAGTCTGGCAGTTAGGGTACATTCTGGTGTGAGGAGGTGAGGAAGGCAATAAGTCTGGGTCTCCTACTTCCTAGGAAAAGGCTCAAACCACTCCAAGTGTTCTTGGTGCTCCATCACATAAAGAAGGGGTTGCTTTTCCTCTGGTCCCATTTTAAAAGTAAGCGGCTGCTGTTATGTTTTGTGAAGAGCTTGACCCTGGAACTATGATTTACCCCTATTTGAAGACCCCCTACCAGACTTGGCCATTCAGGGCTTGTCTATACCATAAAAGCAGCAGCTCCAGCAAGGATAGGCCCCAAAACCCATTGATCACACTGTATCCTCTTGAGCTGCGGTTGTACTTTAAACCTAGAATTTTGCTAGTGGGCTCATCTCCAGAAGCTGCTCTCAGGAACAGAGTAGGTGCAGAGGCATGAGTCCACTGCTAATTTCTAGGCTTGGACCATGCCTGCAGGAGTGGGTGGACAGGGCACAAGTAGACATGGCTTGTCCTTGCCAGTATCTACCACTGGTAAGTGGCAGACAAGCCTTCAGGTTGTTTAGTGGGACTCCAAAAAAGGGATGAGGAAAGGAGGATGGCTCCAAGCCTTTAGAATAGAATGGTTCAGAAGCTGACGAGCAAAACCCAAGGGGTGCCTGTACATGTGTCCCGATTAAGCAAGTCTGCTGGAGTGTTCTAATTGGAACAGTCCAGTGCACTGCAGCATCACATGTATTCAGCGTCCTGTGTTTCAAAATGGCCGTGGGGGCGCTTTAATTAAACCTCAAACAAGCTTAGTTAAAGTGCTCTTGCAGCCATTTTGAAATGCGGGATGTTAAACACACAAAGGCCCCCGAGAATTTTAATTAGAGTGGCTGTCAGGGAGCGGCTCTAATTAACCTCCTGCCCACCCCCCGGAGCACGTGTATCGACACCCCAGGTGCCTAGTGGACTTTCAGCTCAGGACACTGGCACCCATGGAATTTAGGCAATTCCTGGGTTTCCCAAATACACCTATTGGAGGCATTCTTATTTTAATTAAGCTAAAGCCCATGACTGAATGAGGTTAAAACTATCATACCACATCAGCTTCACAAGAACTTACTCTTTGTGAATTTTATGTTGCTCATCTAATTTTAATTTGGCAATACTGTTCCATGCAAGTGTTATGCTTTCTTCTGTCAAATCTTCAAAAGATTCTTCACCTGGAGAAACTAAATTACAAATAAAAATGCCATCACAAATAAGTAGTCAAATAAGTACAGACTCCAGCTAAGTAGATTTAGTGAAGTAGATTACTGAACCTCTAAGTACAAGCATACCGATACAAAAGAGGTTATTTAAACACACACAATGTGAAGGACAATGAAAATGATTTTTTTTTCAAATAGATTACCCTCAGTACATGTACAGACATGTATATACACACCCCCATAGCTGGTGTTCTGCACATCTGTTAAAGCCCAAATAAAACAAGAGATTTGAGATGTAGTTTGAGAGCACATGCACAAGAGCTCACGCTGCTGCAATTCAGCCTCCCTCCGCACCATTCTGGTGCTCAGCATCCCCATCCCAGGCACCAAAAATTGTTAGTCATGCCTCTGATTTCCTGCTAAAAGTTAACCAATTTTTGGTTTGGAGAGGCATACAAAAGAGATGCATGATTTTGTCTGTGTTTTAA